TGCTGCTCCGCCTGTCGCCTCCATAAATACATCTTCATGTAAATTAAATACCTGGAAGTCTGCCGCCACGTGAAGCAGTAACCATGGCAACGGACTTGTTTGTAGCACAATAGTATTTATAATAGTTATTATACATTTTATTTAAAAGGTGCTTTCACTTGACAAAACTAAAACAAAGAAACCCTCCAAAGTAAAGAGTAAAGCTGTCCGGGTCGGACCTGCTGCTGCAGCAGAGCCTCCGGGTCCGACCTGCTGCTGCAGCAGAGCCTCTGGGTCCGACCTGCTGCTGCAGCAGAGCGTCCGGGTCCGACCTGCTGCTGCAGCAGAGCCTCCGGGTCCGACCTGCTGCTGCAGCAGAGCCTCCAGCCGGTCTACAGACCAGAGAGGTTCTGAATGTGGACGGTTGCTCTGCAGACAGGAATCAGCAGCAGGAGCTGCATTCACAGAGTAGAGATGCTTTCTGTCCATAAGGCACTTTCACAAGGCGGGCGGCTCCACTGGAGGACGGCTGCAGCTGGACCGGTACCGTTACTGCTGGTACCGCTCTAAGTTCTGCTCAGAGCTCCAGGATGATCAGTCTGGATGAATCTAAACGCTGATCAACCATCAGATGGATCTGATCTGTGATCAATCCTCCATCAGAGCCAAAGCTCCTCAGGTAGCGGCTCACCTGGATCAGCTGCTGATGGACCTGATCAGAACCGAACCTGGTGGATCCATCTGCTGATCAGCCTGTTTTCTCTCCAGTCAGAATGAAATGAGCCTCAGATGCTTTCAGACGATGAGTTACATCTTCATGAGACAAACTGAGGAAGTTATTATTTACGTCAGAGTGAAGTTTTACCTTCCTTTAGTTTATTTTCTTTATTGTGTGAGTGTTAGCTTACTGTCTGAGGATAAACGTGGTTCAGTTTCATCGTTTAAACACTAAAATATTAAAATCATGAAAACCATCTGGTTTGATGCTTCCTGGTCTAAATAACTGAATGTCTCAGGTTTCAGTGGTTTGTAGTTTATTGTCCACAGATAAAGTTTGTGTGGCTGCCGCACATTTTCACAGCAGGTCAAAGGTTTGCCTTTATTCACGTTTTCATGCCTCGTTCATTTTATACATGCCGACTTGTGTGTAAAATATGGCGCCGCTTTATACTCGAGGCCCTGGTCTCATCCTGTCAGGTTCTGGAGCGCTTTCCCTCTCCAGACCAGTTTGGACCGGTACCAGCCACAGTGCAGAAAGGGCTACCGAGTTTAACAGCTCAGTACCAAGTCGACCCTCATCGGGTCCTAGTCCAGTCCGAGTCTCTGTGGTAAATCCAGTGGAGTGAGTTGTTGTTCAGAGAGAGGATCTCTGCAGCTGGGTTCTGATTGGTTCCTACCTGGACGGCCAGAGAGACCTCCTGCTGGGGGACTGACCCGTCTCAGACCCTCAGAATCCAGCTGAGGCCGGACTGAAGCCTGCCTGGGGGGTGGGGGGCCAGACCGGTACCAGGACCGATTGGACATGAGGGACCGGCAGGAAGCATTCCACTGAAACCAGAGGAAGCAGCAGCTTCATCTTCATCCTCCTCTTCCTCAGATGGTAGTCCTGAGTGATACTGATCAATGAGATCAATAAGTCAGAGGATGGATTGATCAGCTGATTTATAGATAATCCATACCATTCTTACTCTGAGTGTGTGAAGCGGGCGGCTGCAGCCGACCAATCAGATCCCACGCTGTGGCAAACGGACCTGCAGCTGGAGCCGACATACGGAGAGCCTCGGCAGCATCAGTGTTTATTATTATTATTATTTAACCCTAACCCAACATCAAAGGCGGACGGAAAATTCAACATTTATTCATGTGCAGCTCGTCTTACTGTGACTCTGTCGCCCGCCCTTTGGTACAGGCCCGGTTGGGTTGGACCTGCGTTAGTGTGACCCGTTGACCCGTGTAGAACCAGACCAGTAAGCAGTACCTGTTTCAGGCTGAGGGGTGGCGCTGCGGCTGATGACATCATATCCTCTCTCTGCAGGCCTACGGCTGGGCGCTGGAGGGCCTTCGCCAGCTGGCCTGCGTCTCCATGGAGGATTGCACGACGCCGGACAAATGCTGTGCTGTGATTGGCTGCCTGGAAGACTACCGGTCCAAGCACCCGCCAATCCCAGAGAGCCTCTTCCAGGCGATGAAGGCGGAGGCGGGGCAGCTGCGGGGGGAGCGCGGCCTCCGCCAGTGGAGCTTCGCCTGGTCCAAGTGTCAGGAGACGGAGAACACATTTGACAGGAAGATGGAGGCGGCGCTGCGGACTCGGGACTCCGCCCACCGTTGCCGCTCCGACTCTGTCATCAGCACAAGCTCCGCTTCCTCCAGGAAGTCCGGGCTGTGGGGAATCCTGGACACATTGCCGCCCATCCCGCAGCGCACTCCGTTCCTGCGGCGCCTGCTGCGGAGCTCCTCCTCCTTCGAAGAGTCGGTGCGGCAGGACGTCTGCTCCCCCGGCTTCATCCCGCCCTCCTGTTCCTCCTCCTCTTCCTCCAGGAGGCAGCTTCTGAGGAAAACCCACAGCTTCGACCGCCCGGCCTCACCCGACACGTCGCGCTGCGGCGCCGGCCCTCGCACCCTCAGCAAGCCGCCGCGCAGAGGAAACACGGGCGTGTTCATCCGCGGCCTGGAGGTCAGCAGCACGGAGGCAGTGGATCGGACGCTCCGGCCCAGAACCCCGGGACAGAACTGGGCGGGTCCACGGAGCCCCGGGACACCAGGGGGCGCCGCAGGGGACGGCCGACCCCGAGGAAGGTGGGTCATCCGTGATCATCAGCCTGCAGCAGGACGATGACGACGTTAACGTGTTCAGACTGTAGTAATGGCGCTCCATCCTGTGTGCAGTAAACTGCGGCACATCGTGGAGGAGATGGTGACCACGGAGCGGGAGTACGTCCGCTCGCTGCGTTACATCATCCATCACTACTTCCCAGAGATGGAGCGCGCCGACCTTCCTCAGGACCTCAGAGGGAAACGCTCCGTCATCTTCGGCAACCTGGAGAAGCTGCTGGACTTCCACAGCCAGTTCTTCCTCAGGGAGCTGGAGGCCTGCTGGAAGCACCCACTGAGGGCGCCACACTGCTTCCTCAGACACGTACGCCATGTTCCCTAATGCGTCCAGGGTCAGAGCTCAGGGGTCAGAGTTCAGAGGTCAGGCCTTAGGGGTTTATCCAGGGTCGGGTCGCCTAAGAAGGGAGGCCCAGTCTTCCCTCTCCAGCATCTTCCAGCTCCTCCA